AAAAAAAAAGGAAAAAAGGCAACAAGGAATCCAAGATTTGACATGCTATTGAAAAGAAAGGCAATTCTATTAAAGTACACCTTGTTCAGAGACGCTTTTATCACAGTAATCAACGTGAATAACAAATGCCAGCTAATAATTTGTAACGTATAAAGCTATTTTAATGCAAAGTTAAATGTTACAGGCTGCTGGCTGATATAATGATTCACTTTCCAATGAGTCAAGAAGAAGTAACCCTGGCAGTTACTCCAATGAAAGTTTGTTTCAGGAGTTATGCTGATGAAGACACTGGTAAGGAAATTCAAAATATGAAAGAATATTGGGACTTTAAAACAAGCAAACTAAAGAAATAATAAGCAGCACTGCAGCATAAATGGAAAATACATTTCATGGCTGAATTGGATTTTTTTAGGAGAAGGAACATACAGAGACAGATTTTTAAGCCATATGGTCACCCACTGGATTTAATATATTTATGTTAAGAAAATGTTTTTAGTAGTATTTTTTTTGCAGGTATCGGCAGCAAATACCAGAATGATCAGCCAGTTAACTAAGTTGTGCCATTTGCAATAGGTTGGAAGAAAGATAATTAGTGTGTTGTAAGAGCAGACATATGGTAATAGGCATGCGAAAGGAGATCATTTTTTGCTTTTAAAAAGAACTATTTAACTCTGCATACCATAATTATAGAACTGATATCAATACTGAGTATATCTTAATGTAAGGGTGCTATAATGTGTTAACTGGCCTAAAACTTTTATGTTTTGMTCTGCCATTTGCAGATCAGAGGTGAAGAAACATCTAGATTCTTGGTGTGTGACTCAAACTATTTTAAAATATGTAATTGTTTCTGAAGTATAGGTTCTTGTATATCATATAATAAAGGGATGCTTTTCATACCTGCTTATGAGCAAAGCTGAGCATAATGGCCTAGAAAAGATGTCTGCAGAGCCTAGGGTGGGAATGGGGCTAAGAACAARCTAGAGCAGGGGAGAGGGAACAGGGTGAAGTGGTGGAAACTGGCTGAAGTGAAATGTGAAAGAAATTACTGAAAATGGACAGACACACGCCAAAAAAAAAACTGTTTTGAATATGGATTTCTTTTTCTTTCTTTCTTATTTTTTTTAAGAAATATATATTTAAAAGGGTAAGCAGAATGAAAAAAATGGTAGGTAAAATACTGTTTTGTAAAACAAAACAAGATCAAGGAAGAACAGCCAAATAAGGAGAAAAAAAAAAAAAAGGAGGAATTCAAAGCAGCAATTTCTTGTGGGTAGAATATAATGTATTACCTGCAGCAAGTGTTCTGTGGGTGCTTAAATATATATATATATATATTTATATATACGCCACAATATATACTCTTACTATCTTGGAGATTTTTGAGGTATTTTACTTAATTGTGAAAGAAATTTAGCCAAAGCCAGCTAGACATTTATTACTATTAGTCACTATAAAAATACACGTATTTGTTCAAACAATGCTGATGTGAAAACTCATAGTGCTGTTGAGCTTAAATTTCAGTTTTGAGTCCTTGACTTTCTTAATATTTTGAGCAGACTATTCCAAGGCAATGCATACTGAAATACAACTAAATCCAGATGAATTCGACTACTTTCAAGTTGGAGTGGATTCTGAAGTAACATTTTGCCTTAAGGAACTGAGGGTAAAATAAGACTTTGCTTTGAAAATAGATCGTTTTCCATGGATTTGCATAATTTAACCTGGAAAGTACAGAATTGTCCAATTAATATGTTCTACTCAGCCTCCAGATCATCAGTGTTTACCAGCTGCTTAAGGAATAGTTTTAAAACTAGGAATTTTAAGGGCCCTGCACAGTCCCTTGCTATAGCCTTTCAAGGGTAAGGGAAATGTTTTTAGAGCAACAAAAAGACAATTTCAGTGCTGGGCAAGCACCTTATAACTGTACTGGACAAAGTACATCAGGTACAGCCTACATGTAGACAGAAAATCCAGTCAGAGAAGGCAAGAAGTTCCAGAAGCCTTAATGCCTCTTTTCATGAGTGCACAGTTGGGCTAAACTTAYATTCTACTATTACCCTGCTTTTATTAAAATAGCACTTAACCTCCCACCCCTTCTTTTCAGGGACTCCTAGCATTTTCAGAAGCTACCAGTTCTCCTGTCTCCATCCATTTTGACATATCTGGAAAGTACGTTTTGGAACACACCTCTCTGCAATTTCATTCACAAGGCTACAGTCAATTTTTGTCTGCAGGTTGCTCTATGACTATTTAACCGTAACAGTAAAATTGATTTCAACTTCTTACTCAAAGCTATTATTTCTAATTAACCTGCAATTCCAAGTTAAGCAGTTTGTTGTTACACATGAGGCATTTAATACAYGCAAGGATAGAACCAGGCTAGCCTTGCTGACTATCCACAAGCTACATGGACATTTCAAGTTTTCAGTCTAATGCATGTAATCATTTTATTTGGTAGTCTAAAGAAACAGTGTATTTTCTGCTTAAAGTGCCATTTTAATAGTTACATATTTAAAAGCACAACTAAATATAATGCTGTATAGCATTTGCTGATTGATGCATTTTTATCCCCAGTAGGAAGACATTCTGTATTCCTAAACAGCAAATACTTGCATCAGATTTTCATCTTTTTATAAGGGTTATTTTTTAATCCATGTGTATGTAATTGCATGAGCAATGCTTTCTCCCCAAATCCATGTAATTATAGTGCTATTTACTCTCTGACTGTTTGTGTTTAGGCCGATTGCTTTCAGCATTGAAGATATGGTTCTGGAAGCCAGCTTTATTTTGGCTACGTTATCTGTCATTGAAGATGAGGCAGCCCCTGAGCAGCCTCCGTGTGTTTCACGGCACCAGGAAAGGTAACGGGGGCTTTGGGGTGCCTGAAGCAGCTCGACTGTCCTGGATTGAAAACCAGAGTTTAAGGTTTCCAGCAAAGTCAGACATAAAGAAAATGATCTCCAAATTCTTATTGGACATTCATAACATTGTACCCAAGACTAGAGTCTTTGTTCACAGGAAAACTCTGAACTACAGCGGCTCGAGAATAGGCTCATATAGTTTGGGACCACACGGAGACAGTCTCTCGCTCCACTGGTGGATTCTTTTCAACAGGGCAAATAGCCAAATACCTGCTCTTTGTCACAGAAGCACAGCTATTTGACAAATAGCCAAATATSTGCTTCATTGACATAGAAGCGGGCAGCCAACATGCGCTTGAACAGCCCAAGTCACCTCCCCTGTAGGATTCTCACATCTTTACCTATCCCTGATGTGCTCCTCCTGAATGCAGGCTCAAATTTAATTACTAGTAAAGTGCTGTTTTTGCAGCAAAAGGAGAGACAGCACAGGAGTTTGGAGATCCTTATTTAATATGCATAGCTATAAAATCCTAGGCGCAACACTCCACACTCACCTCTGCTTTGCTTAGTCTCCAACAAAGTTCTGTTCTCGTAAGAGAGGAAGGGAAGACCCAAGCTGAGAGTCTGCTTTAAAGCCATAAAGTTTTTCATTAGCAGAAAGGACCAACTAGAAACACGTGAAGACTCACTACTAACCTGCCCTGCTCTCTCCCATCCAGCTTGAAGACATATATGAGTAAACCTGAAAAAAACTCCACGGACAGAGATAGCAACTCAGAAGCAATGGCTTCCAGCAAGCCACACTGGAATGGGAATTCACACAACATGGAGCTGGCAGCACCTAGAAGTCCTTTAGCAAAGCAAGAACCAAAAATTATTCCCAAGATGTCAAATGGAGATTGTACAGGCATAGAAGGAGCTACTATAATTGAGACAAACGACTGTGCAACGCGGGAATTGAGGTCAACACATTCTGATTATCACAAGGTAAGGAAGCTGCAATCACATCTGGCTTACTTTAGCAAACAGGGGAGTAAGGTTTTTCAGCTGGTATCTAGCTGTAAGCTCCACTGCGCTCCTTGGCTCTCCACATGCTGTTCCAGTCAAAATGAATCAGCTTTCACAACAGTACAGCTGACAAAAATGCACCACGTTCTACTACAGTGCACTAAATATTTGCAGGCATATTTTACTTAGAAATACCTCAGATAAAATGTATGTTTTAAAGTCTTTGTCAAAGTGGCGAAGGCTTGAGAAATAATTAACCTCAATGGCTATCACATGCATAGTATCTTACTGTTGTAAATATTGCATTTTCCAGTTTCACTCCTTGTTTTTTGGAGCAGTCTCTTTTAAGGAGAAAGATGCCATCAATGACACCTTGCATAGTTTAGCAACAGCTAGTGACACTGAAGAGGATTCTGTCCCTACGCAGAGATCTCAGGTTCTCTAACAATACCCAGTGCTGGCACTAGTCTGTACCTGGGGATTAGGATCGACTTCAAAGATACAGGAATATTTGACATGGTAACYGTAGAGCTGCTTCTAGTTTTAGAAGGAAGTTTAATGCTATTACGAAACTGTCCTATTTAAGACAGGTTAGAAATTTTCAAAAACTACTTTTATCTKCATTTTGAGCTTGTAAGAGGATGGTAAACTAAATTCACTAACATCTATTGAGAAATTCTGAGAAGTGTTGCCTAATTTGTATTTTTTTTTTAGTAAGGCAAACAAAGATCAGAACTCTGCTCTATACAGTGCTATGAGTTCCTGCTACATCAGCATGAGTTAAATATTCATTCATTACTTACATTTCACAGGAGCCTGCTTTTTGAAACCAGCATTAAGAATTAAACACAAAAGCAGTTTTATTTTTTTGTTAGCTTTGCTCGAGTTTTCTACTATTCATAATAGTACACATTAGCAACCAGTACAGGTCATTGTCGAACTGTAGGTATATTCATAATATAATCTAAATTAAAGCCATGGTTGGCTAGATTCAGATTTGTAAAGCAGGTGCTCTCTAGATGCACTGCTGGAGTGTAGCTCTCCAGCAGGACCTAGGGCGTTCACTCTGCATTACCACTTCAGGCCAATTAACCCACTCTTGTGACCTGGCGAGCGATGGTATAACAGGGCTGGCCACTCTGGCAGAGCCACGCGCACCACTGCTCTACAACAGCTGGTATTTTTGCAGTTACTTTGTATGATTCATGTTGCGCTGAGTAGTTAACAATACTATACACTGATGGAAATACAATAAAAATGAAAATGCAATAAAAATAAAAAGTTATTAGTGTTCAAAAGCATAACTTGAAGACATTCTTGTGTTCTAGGCTTGCAATGCTTGCCTAATGGTTAGGGAAGGTTGTATCTAATAGGACACKGTGTCATTCACACCTGCATGAGGACTCTGTACAGCAGCCTGAYTGAAGTCAAGCACCCCAAGAGCTACGCTGGGGTCACCGGATAATTACATTAACAAACAGATTTTTTGCAGGCAATTAAAAAACCACCACATTTTAGTATAAATACTATATTTATTAAATATCTTTACAATTCATTTAAATGTATTTACAGAACTATTCCTGCATAAGTTATACCTCAGACATGAAATTCACATAATYGCCTCTTAGGTAAGCATAGATGATAGTCTCATTTAAACAAACGAAACAAAGAAAGCATCCTCATTAGATACAGATTCAGATTTGCTTCATTTGAGCTATCTTTGTAAGAAACTACTTCATACAGTCAGTTACTACACGTACACAGTCTGATTTTCCCCCAGAGAAAGGGTGTCCACTACCARGAGAAGGAGATTCTCTCACAAAATGCTTCCCATCTTCACTAGACCTTCACCTCTCCCTTTTCCCTTCCTCAGGCCTAACTATCTGGTCCCAAAATCCGTTTGGTTTTGGCCATACCTTCTTTATAAGCACAAATAAAGTAAATTTAGCGGGAAACTGTATGTTGCAGGTCTCCCAAAGATAGCCAGTAAAGTAGCAAGGAACCACAGTTTTACAGTTCACCAATCTTAGCCCTTTTTAACCCATTTACCCAGTAACGCTGCTGCAGAAGCGCCGACTCCTGCAAYGCTGCTGTATTCTGTGCACCGCAGGTTACCGGTATCCCAACCTCCTCCTCCTGCTTCCGATTACTGCTCCCTAAAAGCCAGCCGCTCCCGGTAAGAACCACGAATCTCTGTGCAGCAGCTGGAAGCTGCTTGTGCTCCATTCGTGTGTGTTCCCCATCCAGGSCACACCTTTCTTGTACATTCCTCTCAAACGGTCACAATCAGCTAACCCTAGCAAGTGTTACTGCTTCATGCATCTTCTAAAGTTATTTTGATATTATGGGCCCTGTCGTTTCCTTTTCCAAAACAATCTGTTGTGCGCAGACAGCTTAAGTTCATAGGAAGAAATTAGGTTTGATATGTTTAGAGTGCACATCTTAAAAAAAAACAAACAAAAAAAAATCAAGCATGTGATAAAAATATTAATTCTTTATAATACAGTATTGCTTTATAAACAGATGGAAAAGCTATAAGCTTTACTGGTCTTTGGTGTGTCCAGTGAGGGATAAACTCATGATTTGTAAATTAAAATCCAAATTTGTTCTGTATTAAGAAAAAAAAGAAAGATGTGATATGAGGCAAGTGGCTTTATACAGAGTGCTCAACTAAAAACTGCTTGAACACAGACAGTAGGGTCAGAGCGAAGCGGCCAGGCCGCCGTTCAGCTCCGGGAAGGCGGCGGAAGCGCAACGGGTGCCGGAGCCGGGAGCACCGGGAGCCCCCGCGGCTCCTGACGGAACGTTCGGGCAAGTGGGAAAAAGCAGCGAGGGCCGGACGGGAACACGCCGAGAGGGACAGAGTGCAAAACAGGGCAGCTCAAGCGGGGCTTTATTTTAAGGGGCGTTCAAGGGAAAGAGTAATTGATCAAATCTGCTCTAGTTAAGAAGCATGATAGGAAATACTGAGGAATAAAATGTAGAGATACGCGGATTTGAGAGAGAAACAGCCCTCCCAAATGCTAGAAACAAAGCCCTATACTGCAGCATGAATACATTCCTCCTAACAAGACAGCTAGAAACAGCTTGTTCAATTTAAAAAAAATAACAAGGACTGACAATTTGTGCAAAGTTATCCACCACTCACTGTTCCATGTATCGCAAAATTAATTAAGTCTTCATTAACATAATCCTCCCCGTACCCCCACCAAAATAATATTTTGGTCAAGTTAGGGTAGTTAAGGCATTTTGACAAGCAATTATAAGGTGATTTAAAATAGATAGCTAACATTATGCCAATTTAGGAATAGCAGATAAATTACCGAAGAGCTTCCAAATTAATCACTTATTATAAATGAAATGCCTGTTACAAGCATGATGCATTGAAATATAGTAAAATGACATGTACATGGTACATGTTAAATGATCTTAAATAAAAGCTTGACATAGTTACGCAAATATACAGTACAAGTCCACAAAAAATTCTTTAAACAAGTTGAGGTAACCTCAAACTTAAACAGTTTTAATACAATAAACCAGGTAGTAAAAATCTCCTCCTGAGATCAGGTAAGATTACTTACTGACCAAGTTTAACTGCACTCACCTAAACATCAACATTACCCGACTTTTTATATATATAAAAACATGGCTTTAATTTATTTCTACATACTTTTCTACCAGCAAAAAACTTAATGAAAAACTGACCAAAAATATATATAATCTTTACAGCTATCAGCTTTTTGTATGAACCTCAGGAAACAAAAGAGAGCGTGATGGACCAGGGGGAACAATTGCAAGCTACTGTAATTCAAAAGGAAATGTAATATTGCGAAGTGGCTAGTAGATAACTGTAAACATCATTAAGGTTCGTTCTGAAAATCCTAAACTTTAGTTACTGAAATGTAAGCTCTGCTAATTACTCAGTGAAGTTTCCATTTTTTACTTACTGCTGCTGCCACAGCACAAGCAGAGGTGCGTGCCTGAGAGCCAGAAAGACAAGGGTCAACTTGACTGGAACTGGTGCGAGGGACTCCGCTCTGCTCGGACCTGCCAGAGCCCAGAAGCTCGGAGCCGAGCGCCACCGCTGCCCCTCACTGCAGCTCGGGGGCCACGTGGCCATCCCGCGCTGGGGACGTGGCTTGAAGTGCTGCAGGGACCTCAGCTCTGACCATCTTGGCTTTCTGAGAGCAGAATTACCTTTTTTTTTTAAAAAAAAAGTTTACCCAYAGCCAAAACATCCAGATACCAGGCCCGTTATGGACAAATGATCTGCTGAACTTGTAAGATCACAGTAAAGCACCCGAAATCACAAAACACATTTGCATCCATATAACTTGAACTAAGTATGGGCTTTTTTTTTTCTTCAAATTCTGTACTAGAAAAGGCTCCTAGGCTGACACCATGTATGGCAAAAGCAAAGTGTTTACAGCAGTTAAAGTCTCCTGAAAACTGGAGCTTGGGAACACAAAACCTCAGCTATCACTGTAACAAGACTATGCTCTGTGCTCTGTAACATACCCTTTAATGAATAGTGAACGTTTCTAGGAGATAGAGTAACACGCCCTCAGGTAGAGGTTTCTTCTATTAACTCTAGCTTGAATGATGATAGACCAATTCTCCCCATGTGAAAGCAAGTCACATTTCAGACGCAGTAAGAACGTGCGATTGATGCTCCCCTTCCACGGACAATCCCTAAGCTCAGAAAGCCGGGCCGGAGCCTCGAGCTTCTGCGCTTGTTGCTGGCAGACGGGCCAGTGCACTGCAAGAGTGGTTCTTAACAAGGACTTCAGTTRTGTCTCGACAGGCAACGTGCTTGAGAAGTGGCTGCTGAGAGCAGCCGCAAGGAAAGGAAGCAATCCTGCCCGCAGGAAACTGGACGTGTAGGAGCTCAGGGCAAGGAAAACTGGGGCTGACACTCCTGGCAAGTCAGTCTGTGTATTCAGCTACTATAGAAAGAAGGACGGTGATGTCGTCTGGTTTTCCCCCTGTAACACAAGAAAAATGAAACTCATCAAACCACAGTGGGTCATCTTTGTGCTGCCTCCTCTAAGCTCACTTTGAAGCAGTTCAAACACTCAGAAAGTTTTGTGCAGACGACAGAACTCTGCTGCCTTCCCTTCCTGTTGCAAGGACGGGCAGCAACAGCACTTACCAGGGCAGAAAAGAGCAGTATTGTGATCAAGCCATTAAGAGGAGATTGGAACCCTGGACACTGTTGCTAGCCAGCAGAGCAGAAAGCCTGTTCTCCAACACTGGGATTTTTCTTTTTCCCTTTTTAATTAACTAAAATTGATTTGTTACAGTCAAGCTCCAATCTTCTCAGGAATTTGCTCTAAATCAAACACTGAAGCATCTCCTCAACATCTTCTCCAGTACTGTATTGAAAATCCCTTTAAAAGCTATTTAGTATTTTTAATAACCACTTTTCAAAACAGAGCAACTGGAACGATACACCCAAATTTACAGAATTAGCTCAGAGAAAAGGTATTTGATTCTGCAGAAGTTCAGATCAGTGTTGATGGCAACTGACTGCGCTGGACACCACAGGSTCCCTTCTGCATCTTTCCACAACAGATCAAGCTCTTGGCAGAGCTTGGGCTCCTAAACTGCTGCCTCAACCTGYAGGAAAGGAACTAAAGCACCTTGCAGGAAACTCTGTCCTCCTGATACAGAGTTAATGAGGACAGATATATTTAAATATATATTTAATAGGACTATGAACTCTGCCATGTGTTTCTAGACTATACAAAATACAGATGAGACTGAGATGGGGATTAGATTAGTAACATTGAAAGGACAAAACCCAGCACAAAACCCTGCAAATAGCCTGAATTCAAGGAGCAAGTGACGAGCGGCTCCCTGGGAGCCTGCAGAGGTTGTTCGGGCTGGATTCCTGGTTTGGGACAGCACAGGAGCCACGGGACAGCTCCTGGAATTACCGACAGCTTCTGAAGGCCCAGACCCTGTGGGGACCCGGGCACCTGGTCAGACAAAGCTCTCGGCTCAGGCAGATCTGCTCCCAGCATTTCTTGACACTGAGTTTTCATTAACAAATGCTACAGTACCAGAAATTCACCTGCTAGCTTAAGGTTTCTCAGGGACGGCAGGAGTGGGAAGAGGCGGAGAAAAGGAAACCCTTACCTCTCACATTCAGCCCGTTGTCGCATGCAAACTGTGCAAACGGTGACATGTAAGTGGGATCATAGGCCAGCTCGTGAGCTTGCTCCGCGATGCTTCTTGCAGTCTGCTGTATACTCTCATAGTTCGAGTTCTAAATCAATGAGAAGTTAGAAAAGAAGTTATAAAGAAGCTATGAAATTAATGGGAAGTTATTTTAGTAAGAAATTCTATGAGTAGCCATTTTACTGATGCACGTCAGCTTTGCAGACACCTGGCTGCAAACTGCTCTCAAGCTCAGGTATTAGTTACCACCTTCTAGCCYGAGTGGAACCTAGACAATGTTTTAAGGCTTATGAATTTGGGGTAGAAGTGCACATCTTCAGAACTCAAGTCTAAACCTGCTCCCTAACATCAGGTACAGACTTGTTCTATAAAGAAAATGTAATTTTTAAGTGCTCAGAACACTAACACTTGGAATAAACCAAACAGTCTTCCCTGGGGGAAAGGGATCTGAGAGCCAATGCAGGCAGTTCACGTGCACGGGCCAGCCCTCGCTCCCCACCCAGGCTCAGGTTAGTCATTGTATTTTAATTGTCCAGAAAGGCTGAGCTCTCTGGCAGCGCACGAGRGCCTTCCCTAGACAACCCAATAGGTGGAGCTCAACCTTCCTCCRTACGAGAACGTAGGTGGCAGATAGTGGTGACAGCAGAGACCGGGACACAACCCACTTGGTGTTTGACCGACTCCGTGTTCGGGCAGGGGCCCCTCAGTCATTTTGCCCGGGAGRGCAGGAGTTTCTGCCTGATGTCACCTCCCCGCCGGGTCCCAYGGAACACGGGCAGGCTCTGCAGCTGCACTAGAGCCTCCACCTTCACCTCATCTGCATCACACAGCATCAAAACAGTCTCCTCGGGGGAGTTACACCTCTTGATACTTCACAAGGCTGCTTTACTGTTTGCAATAGCCTCAAGCACAACATTCCCACCCATATTARAATTGTTGACTAAGTTTTTCAAAGGAAAATTCCCAGTTACTAATCTGGAAAAGATGAAAACGTTTTCTGAGGAAGCTGAGGCATTGCCAGGGCAAAAMGCCAAGTGAGACACTTCTTACCTTCAGCTTTTTTAACTCCTGAAGAATCATGTAGTCAGGCATGTTGTCAAAGAGTCCGTCTGTCGCAGTCAAAATAATGTCTCCAAGCTGGACATCAAAGGAGGTGCTATCGGCAGCATCGGGGCTGTGAAGACACGCGGCGCGTCACCAACACACTCCAGCCCGCACCGAGGCGCCGAGCAGCCTGAATCAGCACATCAGCTAATTTAGCTGATCATTGATCAGCAATCAGCTAACGAGCACATCRACAGCTTTGCTATTCGCTGCTGCTATGTGTTTTGCTGCAAAGGGAAGAATCCCCAACCGGGAAGCTTTTGCACCAGAGCAGCTTGTCCAGAAAGCTACAGCCCAGGAGCCGGGGTTGCAAACTGGCAGCGTTCAGCCACTGCACACAGGATTTGCACTGACAGTTCCCACATGAACAATCCTGCCATGGAAAAGGGCGAGCAAACGGCAGGCCAGGGTCTCCTTGCTCACGTTAAAGGAGCTCCACGCGAAAGGACAGTTCCCAACAGCCAAACATGTGGAGCCAAAGCACCTTCTTCTGCAATGGAAAACGAAGCGCGTCTGGAAATCACTACCCAGAGACCAGGGCAGCTCGGGCCGCGGCGGCTCACRCTTCACACAACACAGAGAAGAGGAAATAGGTATTTGGGCCAATACTGCTGCAAACCCTCATTCCCAGAAGCAACATAATGACAAAACCTTCAGTTTTAAAGATCCCTTGGGACCTTTAAGGGGAAGAAGACGCAAAGCTCATCACACCCCTTGGCTATCGCGCAAGGCAGCGCTTGCYCAATGGGTTTGTAGCTTCAGGAAGGTTAATAGACTTTAGATTGTCTGCCCATCTTCACATATAGCCAAATTTAACATTTAATTAGGGCAACAAATAAGAAATACCAGAGGAGCATTTAGACAACAGACACAAGTACTAATTAATGGCAGCAGCAGCACAGGAACTAGCCAGCAAGCTGTAATTGTGACTCAGGATGGAAGTGCAGGAGCTGATTTATCTTGCACTTTCCTTGTTATGCAACGACTCTGATGGTTTTGTTTTCCTGAAATCCACTGGACATTATCCATTTCTTATATTTTTTTCTTTATACTTAAGACATGGTATGCCAGAAAAAATAAAACATTTTAATAGTTTAGGGATTCCTAAAAGTTATTTGAATAAACCACTAGTCTCTGTATTAGACTAGGGCTAAGGGTTCTAATTTCTGAATCCTACACTGGCTTCTTCCCTGCAGCTTTATGAGTTGAACAAGTGCAAAGGAAACCATAAAGTCACATGCAAGAACAGTGAGGAGTTCCAAAAACTTTCTGAAAGAGACACTTTTGCAGTAAACATTATAAACCTATCTGCATCAGGCTTGAGATTTAATACCTTAAATGCAAAAAGCAAGATTCCTACTCCATTCCCTGTATACTATGCAGTAACTCCTTGAAGACACTTTTTTTATTTTTGTATTCATAAGAGGGACAACGCCAATGAGAGCATAAACATTGATTTGAGAGGTCAATTCTGACACATTTGAACTTTTATTATTATTATTAGTGAGATTTCACTAATTCAGGAGTGATTTGCCTGCCGTTGCAGCTTTCTTAGGGGACGACCCAAGCACAAGTCTGCCTTTGGAACAGCTCATTTCTGTGAACAGATTGTCCCTTCCCAACGCTCTCCCGTGGCYGCTTGGTGGTCTGCCAGATGGAGTTTTGCTCATTTTGGTCAAGCACAAAGTGCTGCTGGAAACACAGCTCCTCAGAGACACGAGTTACAGTCACATGTTCCCCTGCTCCATTCTTCAAGTCCTCACTACCTTGCTGCCAAGATATCTAAATTAGGGTATTCCCAACCAGGCGCAAGGGAGCACGGACCAGGACTGGAAGGAAACTGTTGATAAGAGARGACTCATGAAGGACAGTCAGTGCATCCAACAGCTGGAGTCTTCACTGCAACCACCTTAGAGAGCCAAGCGCCTCCATGACCAGAACACACTGAGGATGCACCACAGATCCTGTGGGAATTCTGTGTGTCATCATGGGAGCACTTAACCCAAACTCATAGCGTGTAACAGTCTAAGAAACTTGATTAGAACAACATGAGAAATATTCACATTACCTTAAATGTGAACCTTAATTACCTTAAATGTGAACCTTAATTACAGACAGGGATAAGTACAAGGCATTGACTGGGTACTTCATTTAAAGCCTGCATCCTATGCAGCACTATGCAAGGAAAGCACGGGGGCAGCAACACTGCAACTCTCTGGGAGCTGATCACAGCTACAAATCAAAAATTTAGAAGAGTTAAATCCTCTCCCATCTTACCTGTCACTTAAGACAACTCCTTCTGCTTCGGGGGGAGCTATTGACAGCTGGAAGGGAGTGTTGAAGTAGTGCTGCTGCTCATCCGATCGGTGGACAACCTCTCCCCCTCTGACCACCAAAAATCCAGAGTCTCCCAAGTTGGCTGTGTGTAAACGATGACTTGTTCTGTCTAGAACTACTATACAAGCTGTGCTGCTTCCTGCCAGGAAAGAGAACCCGGGAACTGGAATTAGCCTTATAAAAACTGCTTATTCTCTATGGAAATACTCAATAATGTCAGAAAACGATATATATCTACTTAAAAATAGCAAGATACCAAACATTTTTATAACACATACTATGATTTTATACAGAAGTTTTCCTGCTTTGATCTAGGCAAACACATTGGGCTGACAAATACCTCTTTTATTCCAGTTTATTTGTCATTTTCCACCCTAAGACATGTCAGTACATCCTGCTACAGGAGACTGCATTTACAGAAAACTTTCCAGTAATGTGGAAAGCATGAAAATAACCGAATCCCCGCAGCACCRTCCGATGTGAGGCGTCTTCCACACCTTTTCATTCATCAGCTGTAAAAACCCTGCCCAGTAAATAACTGCAAGTGGTTCTCAGCTATTCTTCCATTATTCGTGTCAGGACATTAAGATGTTTCTCTCCACGGCATGACTCTAATTATCTCAACAAGAAAGGTCTAAACATTTTAAAGGAACACAGTTTCTTCATGCCACTCAGATGTGATAGACTTCTCTAAAGCTCAAGACATCAGCCCCATTATCCAGTTAAATAACAACAGACTCTTGTGTCCAAGATACCACCTCCRTAAGCAGAAAGAAAAGCTATTTCAGAGACAAGTGCTACTCCAGATTAGTCAAAAAAATAAAGCAAGACAGTGGAAAACATTTCTACAAGTCCAGGGTGCTCTCAATTATTCCAGTTCTGCTTGAGGACACTAAGGAATTCTTGATTCATGGAGATTTAGCCACCAACTGTGCTCGGTGGCAAACCACAACAATGACTGTGTCACAAGGACACTCATGCACAGACCAAGTGCTTCACAGAAAACATAAATCCCTTAATTCCTGCTGACAGGATAGCAACGCATCCAAAAAACCTTTCCATCCCCAAAAATACGGAGCTGGAGCTTTTCTTCCTGACTTTGACCCACCTCTAGCTGAAGCCCCCGTACCACAGGCAAAAGTAAACTGAGTTTTTGCCCTGTTGCTCTCCCAGAAGCTTCTGGGCACAGAAGGAGCCCAGACTTGCAACAGGCTCCACGTGGGATCGGGGTTTATCCCGAGGCTCAGCTGACCCCAGGCAGCCCTCACTCCAGATGCTTCCCTTTTCCTAGCATAGGAATTCCCTGCAAATCACTTACACTTGTTAGTTCTTAAGAGCATAGAACAAACCTCTCTACTCTTAGAGAATAAGTCAAAACACTATCTTGAAGGGAAAGAAAAAAAAAGGCTTAAAATCTTTTAAATTTTATATGACAGAGGCCAATGTTAAAGTATTGTTAAAATATYTGGTAGATTCAAATCTGATAAACAAAGTACCAAGCCTTAGAGCACCAGAACAAGGGGAAGTTAATGTTTAACAAACTCTTCCTAACGAAGCCCTCTCCCTTGACTTTATTCCCAACAAATCCAAAGTATTCACTGCCGGGTTAGTTCAAGGGCTTTTTCCTCCTTCTAAAAATACTGTTCTTGGASAAAGGAGAAAGACTCGGGATCATTAGTTTCAAATTCTAAGTGTATTAGCAGAGTGCAAGCAGGAGGCCCCGTGCGGAATGCCGACCTTGTGACTCAGCACACGCTGCCGYTCCGCGTCGGAAAGGTCAGGCCGCGCGGCCGCCGCCTGGCGCTCGCGGCTGCGGCTGCTTTGCGCAGGTTAAGCGCTATYAGACACACAAAACTCTCGTGTCACTGCTGACCAGCACTGTTTTAGCAACACTTGAGGTCACTTCTGAGGGTCGAACCTATTCTTTAGGCATACAATGCGAGAACATCTGTTCCCAAGCTCAGCACGTAAGATAAAAATACCCGGCCCTCTCCTGGCACAGGACTTTAGGGTCAGGTGAGAAGCATGCACGTCATGCAGGGCAACCCTCTTGGTGCATCAGAGGTCACAAGYCCTTCAGACCCTTTTTGGTCTGCAAGGCTGTCAGCTGAGCCCAAGCTTAGCCATCATATCCATCTGCTCACCATTCCCAAGGCGGCTGGATCAGGCACCTGCAATTATGTGGGGCACACAATACACTGGGCGCTCTCTAGTTTGCCAGCCTCCCCAAAAATCTGTAATAATCTCCCTCCATACGACTTATAAAAGCAATAAAATGTCAGCGACTGTACAGTGTGAGTTACTTTAAGTCAGTAAATTAGGTTAAGTTTGTGGGACAGGAAAGGCAACAAGGGCAATAACGAGCAGAACTGCATCCCGTTACTGTTATCAGCAAAAATAGTTTTGTTTGGACAGCAGAAACAGCCACTAGGAGCTCTTAACAGTTTTCAAAGGCAAAATGGTTATTTATGTGCCCATTTAAACATATGCACAGAGTGAGAAAGAAACAGCACTCCTGTACAAGCACGCACAAAATAACATTCCAGAGCAAAGCTTATTTTTGCTGACTTTCTGCAGGRCTGAATCACCATCTTTCAAATACAAAAGGCAGTTTGCTTTCCTTTTTAAATAAGCAAAAATTCTCTGCGTTACTGAGTCAAGATCATTTTTAAATATACAAGCGAAAATAAGATGCTCCCCAAACCGACATCTTTGTTTCTGTTAAAAGACAAATGTCTAAATTTATCATGGAAGAAAAATCAGAGTTATGCAACCCAAAAAGCAYGTGCCTAGCAAGCGCCCGGCCCTGGCGCAGCAGCCTTACCCAGGAGGGGCACTTTGTTCTGCAGCAGCTCACAGTAGCCCGCGGTGAGAATCCCCACGGGGTTGCTCGGCACGAACCGTCCTTCCTTCACCAAACGCTCGCACGTCCGCATGAGAGTCCCTGAGAACTGAGAAGGGTCGACGCCGTAGTCCCGCCAGCCTCCGACACCATCTGCTACCCCTAGAAGAAAAGACAAGAACACGGGTTATTGGAACCAAGATGGTCACCGAAATAAGACTTTTAACTGAATTCTGGCAGAGTTATTACATTTAGTAACTGCACCAGCTGGATGAAAAATACTAAGAAAAAAAAATCTAAGCATTTTTCAGATAGCTTCTACCACCAGATCCTATGTAAAGCTTCATAAACCATCTAAGTTACCAGAAAGAAGGTAAAAATCCATTGCTCAGAGCTTGACGAGGAGACTGGCTTCACTAGAAAACAACTTGAGCAGTTTCTTGGGGATCCCTCACATTAGCCTTCCACTAGGCCATTAAAAGAGAGGTTTTTGCTTTCAACTTTAAATAGTATAAAAATAAAGAGATTCTTCCCCGCTACTGAATGTCTCAGATTTTCCTCAAGCAACTGGCTCAYTGGAGGGATGATGCTTTCGGTTTGGTAACATCACTTGCTGTAGTAACAAAAATAAAACTTCTGTTTTTCAGAAGTACTCACAAACCACACAAACCAACCCAATGCTGGGACCCACACAGCTAACAAAAGCAGTTTGCTGCTTACCGCTCCCAAGCAGCAGCAGCACCTGCCTTTTCAGCTCTCTGAACCACAGTTTAGCAGCTTCAGTCCTTAAATTACGAGGTTTCTGGTGGCTCCTGTGGTTATGGACGGATGCAGGAATTGTGGCAATGTGGAAGATGCCTAACAGGCTGAAATGGCATCTTTTCAGGAGATAAGAGGGGGGAAAAAAATCAGAAAAATTAACTGTAAATAAAGAGATATACAGAATGATGAGACATTAATCCCCACAGAAGAACTAKGGGGGAGTTATGGTAAGAGCTGTCTCATCAAAAGGATAAAAAGCTTGCAGCTAGGAGCCAGATTGATGGTGTTACGATTAATACAGTATACAGCCACAACATTATTCAATAAAATACGAATTATAGCTTCATAAAGTATTGAACAAAAGAGGCTTTGAATCTTTAAGTAAATAGGTAATGCAAAATCAGGATAATYGACAATCAAGAAGGAAAACTGGGCTAATTCTCCCATTACAGGACTCTCTGGAGCAAGTATCCCGGCTCACCGGGACTGTGCTTTGCATTTGCTTTGACCCATCACCAACAGCAAATGCTTTTCTGATGCCTATTTGGCCAAAATACTTCAAACTTCCCCAATCTGTTTTGACACCAGAATTAATACATTATCTGAAAACAGGYACTATCCATGACCGCAATCTGTGCAAGGGAAAAAAAAAGATTATATTTGGATTTTTTTTTTCCAGAAAGTAAGAATTTCTTTGACCCTCATCCTCTGAGGAACTGATCMCTCAGGCATAGGGCTTTACAATGAAAGAAAGCTCACAATTTGTTCGTGACAAGAGCACAAAGAGCCAATTCCAGAGATCAGCTTGTGCTACAGAGCGGTATCTTTAGAAAGGACACTGCTTCTAAAAAAAACACRCAAACTTGACCGAGGCGGTAGAGCGAAGTTGGCCTCATCTACAAACGCCCTTCACGCCGGGCACTGCCTGAAACTGAGACGCCCGGGTTAGAGCTGCCCTTGGCACGAGCTATAATCTGACAGGAGGCTCCAGCCAGACTCTGAACAGCCTATCAGCATTAATCAGATTTCTCCCAAAAATAGTGCACAACCTTTCAGACACCTGCTTTGTCCGTGTTTGCTTTCTTAGAAGAACAGTAAAGAAAGGCAGCATCCTGAGTTCATCGCTTTGGCCAGAAGGGGAATGAAGCTCAGCAAGGCACCCGTGGCACCCTGCAGCACGAGGAGCCRTCTCTGGCTTCCCCAGGAACAAATTCACCCTCTCCTTACAAGTCCCAGGGGTCCTGGTCAGCACCGAGTTAACYTTTCGCTTCCTCCTGCCAGTCAAACACGTCTGGAGTAAAAGATCAAGAGGAAAAAGTTTCCCTTCTGATCTCAAATATGAACTGAAACAGAAGTCGAGAAGTGTCACTTTGGATGAGGATGATTCCTGCCTTACATTAAGTTACAAGATGAGCATCTTTTTCCTCCCCATTGATAAGTGCAACTTAGCTACAATTGTCTCACTATAGAGAGCAGTATGAAGATGAAGGGTGTATATAAATGGTCCTCTTCCATCTGCCACGTTACTAACCTTGCTTCAGTGACAAAGATACTAACAATAAAAAGATTTGACAATTGCTGACCAAAACTTTTGAGTCCTAACATTGTTACAAACAAGCTCATCAAAAGTTACACAGTTTCCTCAGATGCTCAACAGACCATTCCTTTCATTGGTTTTCTTGGGAAATATTGAAGTACAAGTATTGCAGCATGACTATACAGCACAAGAACAAAAGCTTCCTGAAAAGCAGCTGCTCAGGTTAATCATCCAAACCTCGTTCGACTCCTAGGACACGCATCAGAACATGCCAGCCCGTTCCTTTGGCTCCCATCTTGCCCAAGCAGGAAATCTGAATCCGTAAATCACGGCAACGCGCTCCATGCTCTGCCTTGAGTCATGAAACGGCTTTTTCTGTCTTCCTTCCCGTCTGCTTTTTGTAAGCTATAAACAGCCATCGGCACGTTGTGCCAGGGCCTTCCAACACAGGAATCCTCATGCTAGTTCACGGATAGGTAGCTCTAACTTAGCTTCTGCACCACAAAGAGCAGAGCATCTGCTTGAGGATCAACAAGACAGCCACACATTCCTTCTCCAGCCCTGGCAGGGAGGAGCAGGACCGTCCCGCTCCTCAACAAGCCCAGAAATATCCTTTAAATGCAACACCGGGGCCTCCTCGCTCATGCACCATCACATGCAGCCCTGGTCCTTTCCCAAGATGGACAGCGTGGAGTTCCTGCAAAGATTTCATTTCCTTTTTTATTGCATGCTTGAAAAGAAGATAGTTGGATTAATTTAAGTTAAATGACCTTACAGGCTCCTAAAGCACGGTGCATSAACACTGCCAGAGCAGGCAAACGCTTCCTCCTGCCAGGCACAGAGCCAGGAATTACTGCTGCCTTCCAGCTCAAAGACACTACATGGGCAAAACAGAGTCAGGAAGCTCTGAACTGCACAGTTCCATCTGCAGAGCCTCCACCTTCACTGGCTTTGCTTTAAACTAAGCGATTCCAGCTCCCTAAGATCCGCAGCCATCCTGTCCTACAGACCAGGATGTTTTTAAATAAAAGCAGCATTTCAAATTCTCAACAAACTAGAGAGTTCAAATGAACAGAAAGTGAGATTTTAACCTGTTTAAGTTCAATAGCACTGGATAAAAAGAGAAATGTAAATGAGACTGAAGTATAAACCTGTGACATTTGATATATAGAAAACATGAGGCTATAAAGTGTTTGTGAGATATCCCAACTCCAGAAGCAAGAACTACACTCTCATAAAGAGGTCACYTTTTACACAACTGCAGGTTTTCTCTTCTCTAAGTACTGCTACTGGCAGTATCATTGCCAAGGAGTAATGATAACTGACATTGATCCACATTATCCTTTTATTCACCTAAGACAATAAACAAATAAATAAATTTAACAAGCAAAAAAAAAAGGAAAAAAGATTACTCAAGTTTTGATTCTCTCACATTTCAATAAAAACACTAGGTCTTTTAGTATCCATCACTCAACTTCAAATATTCAGCTTAAAACATATGAATCATAGCACACTGCAGCTGCACTGCATGGCTAGCAAGAATTGCTGAAGCTGAACTGTAKAAAGTCCTTGATGTTTTTAAAGCAATCCGGCAAATCAGAACATTCTGCAAAAATAATTTTTCATTGGATTTTCCTTGTTCAAGCCTATTCAGAGGTTATCCCAGTGTCCACGTACAGTAATGAAATGACTGTGGCTAGATGAAGAGCCACTTTAAACAAGTCAACTTATCAAGATAGGTACTTGAAAAGAGCAAAAGCTTCTCAAATATTTCACCGTATTATGCAGACCYTTCAGAACTAGCGACAGAGTTAATTCTTCAGTACGTTGCCTTCTGCTGGAAAACACACAGACACCACTGCCAGATTAAATACTCCCTGCATGTGTCAGTTCAGAAACTGGCTCACCCTAAACTTCTTAAAGGCCGAGTAAACCAAGACCTCTCAGAGAGAAACAACCATAACAAAGCTTCAAAACAAAGTGCAAGTGATTGATGCTGCAGTGCTGAAACGGAGCAAACGAAGACAATGGCAATAAAACGTGTTTAAACTGAATTTACAGCCCTAAAACACCAGCTAAAAATGCAACCTTGGAGCTGTTTTGACTACCAACATTGCATAAACTGCAGAGGTGCAGGGAACGGGCTGCCAGTGCAGAGATGACTAATATGTGCTTTTCACTGTGCAAGTTCAAATCAGATATAAATGTTCCGCCTAGTTCGGGCTAAATAAAAACTTAAAGAGTCTCGAGGTTCTGAACAATGTAATGACACTATAAAGTCTGCCTCGAACCAGCAGCCTCAGGACGGGAAGTTTTGGCTGGCAAGCTCGGCTGGCAATGGATACAGTCCAAAAGTACTGACTTGTCCCCAAAAATCTCTTGAAAGACAGCGACTTTCCAAACCTCTATCAGCCAAGAAAACGAGTACAYACAGGAACCCTGGGCAGGCACAAGCATGCCAGCTCGAATCGCTTTCGCAAGCGACCACAATTAACACTGCAAGACATTCCACTCATCCTAATGAGCTTTGAATGTCTCGAGATCCTTACCTGAATTAGCCCCGAATAACTGATAGAACAACATCGAAAGGATATATTTATGCAACCAGGTTTATTTTGCATCATAATAGAAGAAAGTCTGAAATGTTAACAAGGTTCAATCTACTGTACTACACAGAAGTTCAAAATATAGTATCTAATATTTCTTAACATATCGGAGATAAAATGATCTGTGATTTATTTTATCAGTGACAAAATAATTTACACCATCCTAAGTAAGCCACGAGCTTAAAATCAGTGCTAACTCTTCCAGCAGCTTCAACAGCAGCATGCAGGGGATCACAATATTATTGTTCCATTCTCTTCCTCTATCAAGTTTTGACAAAGAAATAATATTGTTATTTCTCTAACTATGCAACAACAGCACAGTTACAAACTCCTAAAGGTAGATTGCGTATGACTGGTAACTTACAAAAGGAAAAGTTACTCACCTACATTACACATTTCAAAAGTTACACTAGTCCTTAACTCCACTTGTCTTATAGATTCTGGAAGAATAACTAGCTAAACTGAAAATGATGAAAAAAAGGAGGAGACCAAAACAGAGACAATATTCAAGAAAATATGAAAGGATAACAGGGAACTAACAAAAAACAAATTGCACATCTAGTTCCAGGCAAAAGTAGAAGCTCCTTACATCATTTTTCTCCTGTTGCAACCCACCCCTCTTTCTGAAACAGGTTTTTATAGAAGGATCTCTTATCCATTTTAAGTCTAGGCCTGAGAAATCACCCAGTGGATTTTGAGAGTTACAGAAAGGCAGCGTGAGCTCCGGAAGTTCCGTGAGAAYACAGCTCGAACAACCTGGGAACTTTTCATAGCTGAGCTGCGAGTGGCAGTTGACGTGAAATGCTGAAAGGGGCAGGGAAGGCAGAGCCCAGGCACGCGAAAGGACTCGCGATCTGAGCGACCTCAGGCTCACATATTAATAGTTCTGAAGAACCAAGGTAAACAGGAGGAGATTTCTACAGAATTTCCTGTAACATAAGGATGATTAATGCCCCACCTACTGTACCTGTGCTCAGCTTTGCTTAGTTCTTTCTGTGTTTTCTGACAAGACCTGCTTTTCTTTCAAGCAGCAACTCTTAAAACCTGCTTGGGAAGGGAATATTGTCCACTACCAACAAGCAGCAACAGAACACACAAAAAATAGTAATAAAAAAAAAATCTATTGCAAATTCTCATCAGAACATCTTTTGCTCTTACAGAAACTGCGCTAAAGAACCAGATTTTAGTTTCTTGCTCAGAAAGAGAGCTGCGTTTCTAAGAGGTTACATTCTAGACTACTTAAGAACAGCTTTGCTGGCTTTTGGATTAGCTGTACTGACAAGCGTGTCAGTGAATAACTGCTAATGGGCACGTTTCTCCTTAATCTGTAGTTAACTTTATGAGTGACAGTACTTATGTGCCCACGTTGAAAAGACAATTTCGTTTTACATCCCTGGACTACTGCATGTGGGCTTTGGCGTTTTTTTCCCGAACCCACCGAATACTCAATCTAAGATGTCCTGAGTTTTCATAGCAGAGCAAGCGAAATGCAGATCCCTTGCCTGCTTTAGTTTGACAAGTTCTAGCAGCCATCTCTTTAATGGGTATGAGCCACTTAGCATGGTCTTACATGACCTTCAGGCATCAGAAACGCTTCATCCCATGTAGCTGCCAGAGCAACCCTGACATTTCAACAAATCCTTTTACGTTTTCAGTTTACTTTTTCTTGATGCATATTTTTCTTGATATAGTGAGACTAACAACCAGCAAGGGACTTCATCTATCTCAGAGTTTATAGCTCGTATTCAGGCTGCTGACATACTTCATTTTCAGACTCGAATCAAGATTTGCAGCCGAAAGAACAGCTGCCAAAATCTAACTTTGTATTGGACAAACACTTCCCTACTACTGTTGAGGGGACATAAATAGTTTGGAAGACGAATCAAGTCATCCTGGCTACACCCAAACTCTTCCCCAGCACAGACTTTGATGCTGTCACGGGATGCGGATCGGTTGCTGCAATGTTTCAGCAGTGAATCACACAACAGTTCGGAAAATGCATAAAAACTAGCAAAGACAGCAGGAGCCTGCTAAGGAATAACCAAGAAAAGGCAGATCCCAAAACAGGGGGGAAAAAAACCAGCACCAAGACATCTTAGTATTTGTAAGCAAGTTTCAAAAGTTAGCTTTGTTAAGTGAAACGCTTATACAAAGATTTAAATTTGTTATAACAAGTTACACTTTGCTCTCTGCACTCTTAAAAAATCCACTCAGATGATAATTAGAAATAAAATGGTGACAGTTTCTGAAGTTGTGGAGTATCATTTTTTTAAAAAAAGTACTTATCCAGCCCTTACATATTAAAAAAAATACTTTCAAATATGAAGTGTTACATACACGTCTACAGAGGCAAGAAGATAACTCAAGTATTTTGACTAGTTTATTCTCTATGTGAGGATCTGGGCAGCCAAGAAACTGATGGTGAACAGAGAGAGGTACAAAGAGCAGCACAAGCCAGCACTGGCATAAAGCAGGAGGCTCCAAGAACAGACATTRACATTAGTAGTAGAGCTATTTCCTTTTCTCGGAGGCATCCCAAAGGAAACACTACGGCTTTGAGTTTCTCGTTCCTTCCTGTGCTTGGGATGAGAAGAAAACATGCAAATCCACCAGGCAGGTAACAGCCAGAAGGAAAAACGAGACAAAGACTCAAAGATTAAAGCACATCAGTAACAGTCCCTATAGAGCCTTTAACATCTAGGAGAGGGCTGGGGAAAAAAAAAAAAGAAAAAAAAAAAGATTATTCCTAAGGTTGCTGTTAATCTTACTATGAAAGGATTAAGTGGAGGCTCAAAAACACTATTCAATTTTCAACCTTTGCAGAATACATGAAACAATTGAACATGCCTAGTATTTTTTTGCTTTGTTTTTAAATAGATCTCTGCTTCCAACATACAGCCTCTGCAGCCCTAGCCAGCTTTTGTTTGACAGAGGAAAAGGATCCCCAATGCCAAGGAGCTGGGAGCAGCTCCTCCGCTATTACACCACACCCAGACCCACCCCACACAGCCTCACTTTCCGTACATTGATTCTAAAAGAGACTGGCACAGAATCATTTTAAATTAATTCTCTGGCACAGCTTTGTCACTGATGACTACTAAGGTGGACTAAATTTAAGCAATACGCTCAAAATTAACTCTTCTCTAAAAACACCCGTATTGTGTGCAATATTCACTTATACTGTTCATTAACACTAAAAATGTGGAAACCTGCAATGGACACAGTCCAGCCAGCTGTGCTGCAGTGTACCAAGTTAGTACAAAAGTTACTGGCTCACTAAAAKATGCATAAGAAACTTCATATTTGTGATGTGAATAGTGCAGACTTGAGGAGAGGGAAACCCTGGTGCTGAACCTCCTTTTGCAGCAGCATAAAGGAGCTGGTGAGAAAGGGAGAACAAAGAGGCGATCGCACTCGCTGAGAGGAGGAGGCAACCACCAGCTCAAACTGCACACAAAGAAAATGCAACAACTTGGAGTGCATCAAAAAACACCCTGAGTGTTAATATTTGCAGAATATGCAGCTTTTTTKATTTATTCCTACATACAAATATTAGAAAAGGGATTAAAAAAAAAATAGATGCACAGAAGAAGAATTCTATTTAAATTCTGCTTTCATTTTGATGCTTAGAACATGCTGGTCTGAAGCCTTGTTTGCTGTTTGATCCCTGAGTGGAGTTACAATTACGTTTGTCATCAAGTCGCYGTGAAAAATAATGCAAGGACAAACTTAGTAACGCAATTCTTGGGCGATTCCAGCAGGATGATAAAGCGGGCTGCAAATCCACATATGGCAATTACCAAATACGGCCAACCCCCCCCTAAACATCAGCAGATGGCTTGAAATACACCCTATTCCCCCTGCAGAGAGCCCACCACGAGCAGAGCAGATCCCGCATTTCTCTTAGGGATGAGCACCAATTGCTCAGCTATTTATCAGCGTTGACCTTGTATGAACTTTAGAGGCAGCCAAGGTTAAATCACATGTTAAAATATCGGTGTCCAAGAGCTAATCCTAGCGGAAAAACGTTACTCTAGAGCAGGCACAAAAGAAGAGATGTGGGTTACTTAATGCATTGATAAAGCTTCCCTATCTCTTTAATAACTATACCATCACCTACAGCTCCGTAGCACTGTTACCTAGCACCATGTTACAGCCTCCTGCAATAAGGTCTGTTATATTAAAATGTAATCAAATTACAACAACAGCATGAAATTCTTCAGCATCAAGCAGGCTTAGGCCACTCCTCAGCAAAATCCCACCGTTTTTCAGTTGGAAAGGGGAGCAGGGTTCCCCTAAAGGTCAAGGGTTGCAGCATGAAGTTATTTTTGTCACCGAGAGGCTCAAAAACCGACTTTCCCAAGTTTTCAGTCTGCCGCGTTCAACCTTGACTAGGGAGGAAAGGTCAAGCCCTGTCAAAWACAACACGGCTCGAAAGCCAAACATCCCATTGATTTGCCGGGATTATCCGCTCTGCTGAAGGCCGGCGCCTGGTAAGATTCGCCCTGCACACAAAGGCAGGCCGGGCGGCACGACCGGGCCCTGCAGAAAGCCCAAAATCGCAGCCTGACATTTGAAACCGGTCTCAATGTCACTTTGCCTTTCGCTCGACAAGGACGCGGGCTAAAATAAGGAAGTGCCGCGTCCCTCCGCTCCCGCGTCCAGCGGGATCCGCGGCGCCCGGCAAGGCTCCGAGCGCGGCAGCGGGGCCAAGGCGGCCCCGGGCGGCTCCCCAGGGGCCACTAGGCCTTGGGGGCACCCACGGGTGCCACGACACGGCCGGGCCTTGCTGGGGGCCCCTTTTGGAGGCAGCCCGGGGTGCCACACGGCAGGGGGGAGCAGCGGGGCGGCCCGCGGGCTGTGCGGGCGCGAGGGCAGGGGCGCCTACCGAGCACGTCGGCCGAGCGGTGCCGGGCCACGAAGCAGGCGTCGTCGCCGTAGCACATGCCCTTCTTGAGGATGCCCTTGCGGAAGTCTTTGCCGAAGCCGCACGAGGCCGTCACGAGGCTGTAGTCGCGGGAGTCGGTCTGCGAGAGGCCGCCCAGCACGGCCCGCGCCACCAGCCTGCCGTACGAGAGCACCGAGAACATGGCGCGGGGCGCCCAGCCGCGCAGCGCGCCGAGCAGGGGCAGCCACCGCCGCAGCCGCCGCCGCACCGGCCCG